TCCTACTGTAATAACAGGCTCACCCTCCTCACCATGAGGAAATTCCACCTGCAACCTTGTGAAAACAAAAGAATCATCCAGTAAGCTCTCTGGATATGGCATATCCCTTTTGATTGTACTAGTTACAGTAGAGGCCCAAGATGTAGGCACATCAGCTGGATCTCCTGGCGGTCTTGTGTTCTCTCCAATATCAGGCATAGTTGCATCCTGGTCGCCCACTCTCAAAACCCTAGACTCCCGGCGCTCTCTTGTTAAAGTAACTGGCAATAAGAAAGTGAACATGAGGATGGTGAAAATTATAATAGGATCGACGGCTGAGATAAAGAGGGAAACATGAGCTTTCGCGTTTAAAGGAAAGCTGCTGTGAAGTTGCAGAAATTAACCAGAAAAATCAGAAAATTGTTGTAAACAAACTCTTCTTCTTCGTCTCCATTCTTCTCTGTAATTCTCTAAGTAACCACTTCTCTATGATTTGAGTTTCTTAAGGTTCATTTGAATTAGTTGTTTCAAGAACATTTAATTCGTTTTGATTCTCAATTAGAATTCAATTGAAGATACAATTTTTGTGTATCAAAGGTATCAGAAGTCAAGCGATTTCTCGGAAACTAAGGTAAAAACACAATTCCAGAACATCACCACCGAGGGTGAAGATTCAATAGGGCTGAGATCTGATCAGATGCTTGAACGCTCTCAAGCGCTGGAAACTTTGATTGCTGAAAGCAATGCAACAATTGCTAAGAATACAGAGGCTATCTTTGTTGCGATCCGACTTTTGTCTCCATCATCACCAGTTCCATCGATTCCAGCAACCAACATCGCACATGGTCAAAATTTAAGATCTGGTACGCTGATTCATTACTTTTGGTGCTTTTAGATTTACGAATTTAGATTCTCCTAGATTGGATTTGGATAAAGTGAGTTCAGATGATGTATGGGATGATACAATTGTTGTATTGCAAAACTTGAAAGAAACTAATGGGATTGTGGATTATCACAACAAATTTGAGCTGATTAGCATTCATGTGAATCTCCCTGAAGCTCTTTTGGTAAAATGCTATTTAGAAAGGTTGAGATTGGATACTCAGTCGAACATAAGCATGTTTCAACCCCATTCAGTCAGTGAATGTTTGCTAATTGATCGTTTGTATGAGCAAGCTCACCCTACGAACTATTTTAGTCATGGCTTTTCTAACTCCAAAAACAACAACGGTGCTGACAGAGCTCTACTTGTTGAGAAGGACAATATATTTTGAAGTGGAAAGTTTGTGGCATCAAAGAATTCTACGACATTGCAGGGTTAACTAAAAGGTCCAAGAACTACAGTTGACACATCTAGTACTCTGTTGCTGCCAAATGGAGAAGCTACATCACGATCTGTGATTGGTTTCTAAGTCAAAGTGAATGAGACAAACTCAATTGATTCAGGAGATTGAACCGAGTGGTGTGAGTGGATCAATTGTTTTGATTATCCACAAAGCGGCTGAGATTTTTCAGAGGCTAGAAAATCATAGAAATTCAAGTTCAAAAGAAATTATGAAGCTGCATTTTGCTATGGATCACATTCGGATTTTGATTTTGTTGATGCTATTTCAGTGGATGAGTTAAGTTCTGGTTTTGTTTGTGAGTTGGCTGTTGTTTGGGTGTCATGCTTGTTGGAAGCCCCGTGTTGGTTTACAGCTTTAAGGAAGAGAAAGCTTGGCAAGATTTGGTTGTTTAAGTACAAGCTCAAGACATTGCTTATTGAAGCGTTTTATTTCTGGAGGAAGAACAGTTATGTGGTTTGGCATCATTGGAAGAACAGGGCTGAGAACTTGTACGCAGTTTTGTTCTCGGTTGAAGTCGAGCTCAAGATAAATAGGCAACATTCACATTTCTTGCTTCAAGCCAACCACATTTGGGTTCCTGATGGTTCTTTCTTTACATCACATCAAGTCCTGGTTCTATGATTACAACTCATGGTTTACAAGAGGAGAAAAGAGATCGACAAAGCCAACAAGAGTGCGGGAATGAATCTTTGGTATGTTTACAAAATTCTAAAACCTTATATTGGCGTTGATGATATGTTTACACAAGTCCATTGACTTTATTGAATGCTGAGATTACTGCACAAGTTTTATATAAACCTTGAAATCAAGATTTAAAAAAAAAAAGATTTGTTATAGCAATTGGCAATAAAAAAGTGGACACATGGATGATAAAAATTATACTGAAATGAAGAAGAAAACATGAACTTTAGCGTTTAAAGGAAATCTGCTGTGAAGTTGTAGAAATTAATTTAAGAAAATCAGAAAATTATTGTAAACAAACTCTTCTTTTTGTTTTTATTTTTCTCTGTAATTCTTTAATAAACTATTTCTCTATGATTTGGATTTGTTAAGGTTCATTTGAATGCTTTGTTTGAAAAAAAATGGTTTTTATTTGGGTTATCAATTGGAATTCAATTGCAAATACAGTTTTTGTGTATCATCTCTATTTTGGAAAAGGATTATCTGATATCTGTTGGTGTTTCAATTCTTCTAAATTCTCATTACGAAAATGGGATTAATTTCTAGGTATTTTGTAAAAAAAATATATTTATGTTCTCTTATTACGATTTTCTTCATGTCGAGTGATTTCTATAATTCTATGCAATTTCTTCTATACACGAGGAAAAGAAGTTAGTGAAATTAATTAATTTTCATATAACTACATGTTAACCAAATCGGTTTAATATACTGCTAAATGAGAAATATAAACCGATCTTGATGCAGCGTGATATTTGGAATATTTCTAAATATCTTTATTATTTACTTATTTGTGTATTTAGATAATTATTATTTATTATTTAGAGCTTTTTAGAATATTATAGGATTTTTATGATTTATTATAAATAAGCCGTTTAAGCATTAATTGTAATTCAGACTTTGATAAATTAATAAAAAGGGATTCCCTAAAAGAGGTTTTGATAAACCACTGTGAAGAGTATTCACAAATCCTACTTTCCAAGTATTCTTAGAATCAACGGATCTAGTTCTATCTGTAGTAGCTTTCGCTCCATCAGTTGGTATCAGAGCTGCGTCTCTTTGATTTCTTTATCGATGAACGATTCTGGATCATGGTGAGTAGTTGCATATACACTTTCGAGGACGAAAGTCCTTTTGTCGAGAGAAAAGAGAGTCATGAGATTTATAGAGAAATCTATGACAATCCAATCTACGACGTCTATAAAGATGATGTTGATGTTATCAACTTTATCTTTGCAGAAGGTTCTTTTAAAAATCTGAAGCGTGCAAACTCCGTGCGCAGTCAGATTGGTGTAAGCTTCGTGCAAAATCCAGTTTGTGCAAAAAGCGTGCATAATCAGGTTTGTGCAAATATTGAGCGTTGCCAGATCTTTTCAAGTTTCGTGAAGACTCCGACGCGTGCAAATTCTGGATTGAGTCGATGGTGGTCTAAGTCCAGAGAGATTTGTGGCGAATTAGGTCAGTACAAAACCGGTGCAGATTCGGTTTGTATAAATTTTGTACAAAGTCCGGTTCGTGCAAAACTCGTGTACCATCAACAAGAAGACATCAAACTGATGTGGAAAAATCGGTTGAAGATTCGAGAACGAATCTTTCTTGGCCGGCAAGACCTGATGCAGCGTGATATTTGAAATATTTTGAAATATCTTTATTATTTACTTATTTGTATATTTAGATAATTATTATTTTCTAGAATATTTTAAAGTTTTAATGATATATTATAAATAAGCCGTTTAAGCATTCATTGTAATTCAGACTTTGATAAATTAATAAAAACGGATTCTCTAAAACAGGTTTTGATAAACCACTGTAAAAAATATTCACAAACCCAATTTTCGGATATTTTTAGAATCAACAGATCTAATTCTATCTGTAGTAGCTTCCGCTCCATCGGATCTTCTTGTAGCTTATCTTTTTGTATTATCATCTCATTTTTACGCACCACCCAAACACAACATAACTCTCTCTCTCCACACTGTTTTCAAATCAAGTCGAATGCTCTGCTATTGCCACCATTAAAACATAAATATAACTCAAAAGACTTCAAAAACAAGTGAATTCCTCTAGTTTCTTATTAGATCAAGCGATTCAATCAATTTTTTCTTCTGCTTCTCTCATTGTTTTGTCAAGATTCTTCTCTTATCCATTGTGATAACAAGAAAAAAGGTTATTTGTTCTTTATATTATTTTATAGTTATATTAATATTTTTTTTAGTTGGGGGAGAGCTTGCCTGGTGTCGACTTCTTCTCTATCTAAGAGTTGTGCTTAATTTACGGACATGTGAGGATACTTGCTTTTGCCTGCCTCATCAAGGGCATGTTAGCCATTACTTATCTCTTCTCTTCTTTGCCTTTGTGAGCTCTAAATCTTCAGAGATACATATCAAGAAAGAGAATTAACAAATAACGGACAAGACTTTGGTATTTTCAGACAGAGAGAGATCGGTAAAAATGTGGTTGCTTTGTGCCCTGATGCAAGGTTTGGAGTAATCTGGTGTTTGTGTTAATGCTTGCTATGGATTCTTTGAATGGATACAGATTAGAATCCAAATGGGAAATTGATCCTCAACTTCTCTTTGTTGGGCCAAAGATTGGGGAAGGAGCTCATGCCAAAGTCTATGAGGGAAAGTAAGCTTCTTTATCTTCTTCTTCTTTTTCTTTATATTATCTCTTTTCACTCTTAGCTGATGAGATTATTGGGAAAGTTTGGATTTTGATTTGTGGGAAAGTGAAGCTTAGTGTTTGTTCTTAATGGGTATGAACAAAATGCTTTTTTGGTAGATTCATCTCTCTGGATTTGTTGCCTTTGTAAAGAGATAGAGATTGGATTTTGAGTTTTGGGAAAGTGAAGAAGCTTAGTTTTTTGTTCTCGAAGTAAAGATGTTTGTTTGGTAGATTCATCTCTCTGGATTTGTTGTCTTTGTAAAGAAATTAAAATTGGATTTTGAGTTTTGGGAAAGTGAAGCTTAGTGATTGTTCTCTCTGAGTATGAACAGAATGCTTTGGGTGAGACTCATCTTTCTTGATTTGCGGTTTTTAAAATTATTGAAATTTCAGCAATTGAGGTTTTGTTAATGGATCTCTACTGTTTTTGGTGGCTATGATCTGAGATAGATACAAGAATCAGACAGTTGCTATAAAGATAATTTATAGAGGAGAAACGCCAGAAGAGATTGCAAAGAGGGATTCAAGATTCCTAAGAGAAGTAGAAATGCTCTCACGAGTTCAACACAAGAATCTGGTCAAGGTTCTGTTTCTGGAGATCAATTTCTCTTTTTATGCTTAAGGTTTTATCAGTAATGGCTTAACGGTAAACATGAGTCATTCTTCTTTTCTGTCTGAAACAGTTCATTGGTGCTTGCAAGGAGCCTGTAATGGTGATAGTTACAGAGCTTCTTCAAGGCGGTACACTGCGTAAATATCTGTTAAACTTGAGACCCGCGTGTTTGGAGACCCGCGTAGCCATCGGTTTTGCGCTCGACATTGCTCGTGGCATGGAATGCTTGCATTCCCATGGGATTATTCACCGTGATCTCAAACCCGGTAACAAAAAACCATTTCTGTCCTCTCCTTGAAACAGATATGTTTTGTTTCCATAATTTAATGATTCTTGCTTAAAATATTTGCAAAACACCTTGTTTCATGGAAACCACATGCTCAGATCTCAATCACAAAGAATCTTTCTTTCTTTTCTTGTTTTTTGTCTGACACCACACATGCTTCAAGTGCTTTTAATATTGTATTTTATGATGACTGTTCTTGTTTTCTCCTGCAGAAAATTTGCTTTTAACTGCAGACCACAAAACAGTAAAACTAGCAGACTTTGGATTAGCAAGAGAAGAGTCACTTACTGAGATGATGACGGCTGAGACCGGAACATACCGTTGGATGGCTCCTGAGGTTTTTATTTTTAAGCGATTTTGTTCATTTCTTTGTCCTTCTCTTCAGTTTCTTAAATACAATCTTGGTGGATTTTTCAGTTGTACAGCACGGTTACTCTACGATTAGGAGAGAAGAAGCATTACAACCATAAAGTCGACGCATATAGCTTTGCAATCGTTCTCTGGGAGCTTTTACACAATAAACTGCCTTTTGAGGGAATGTCTAATCTTCAAGCTGCATATGCAGCAGCCTTTAAAGTGTGTTAATACCGCCTTTTTCTCTTCTTTTTCGATTTGATTTCGGCAAAACATTGCTCACATATGTCTTCTACAGAATGTGAGGCCAAGCGCTGAGAGCTTACCCGAGGATTTGGGCAACATTGTAACATCTTGCTGGAATGAGGATCCGAATGCTCGACCAAACTTCACTCAGATCATTCAGTTACTACTTAACTATCTATCCAAGGTTGGATCTCCGGTATCCGCGATTCCCCAGCGGATTCTTGCTTCTAAGAACATGTTATTGCCACCGGATTCTCCTGGAACTAGCTCTTTGATGGCTACGAAGCTGGATGAATGTGGTGAAACTCCAAAGGGTAAAAATGAAGACAAACGAAAAGGTTTGTTTTTCTGCTTCAATCAATGTTATTAACCTTTTGATCACAGAGAGAAAAACAGTTTTTGTTTTCTTCTGGATTAGGACCAGAGATTTGGTAGACATTACTCAAATTAATGATGTAATAACATCATTCCCACCTCATATAAATTCCATATGAGATTAAAAATATAAATAAGCAGCTATGTAATTGTGATAAATTAAAAGTAGAAATAAAGAAAAATGTATCCTAAAGAGGTTCGTGTTCCTCGTATTATGTCTAAAGAAGAAAGTTTTAGTTAAATTTACCCTTTGGTACTTTTGTATCTCTTCTTTTATCAAGACTGGAGGAAGGTATGAGTAAACTCTTTGCTTCTTTTTGAAATATTAGGTATTTATCTGTGCTATGCTGCTGAATATATTTCAAAATTTTGTATATATTTTTAATATAATAAAATTATTTTTATAATGTAAATGAGTATTATATTTTTTTTTTATTAGTTTAAGTTATGTATTTATATGTTTTAAATCTGAATAAACATTATATAGATTTTTCTTTTATTTTTTAAAATTATAATTTGCTATTAAATTTAGTTAGCTAACTAATTATAAATGTATATATATGAATGAAATATATAAAAATAAAGCAATACATTTTTAGTACATTTATGCTAATGACAAATGTAATCTATTTTCTCCAATAAATTACCACATAATCCTCTTTTGTAATTATATAAAGCAAAATGCTATTTAAAAAAGATTTATTAATTTATATGATTATTTTGAATATAAAATTTATTTATTTATCAAATATTTTATTATAAACATATGTTTCTAAAACTATCAAACTATAATCAATAACATTCATATCAAAACCATTGTTATTGCTTTAGAACTAAATAGAAAATTATGTTTGAATTCTTAAAATATCGTTTTAGTTAAAGTTAAATAATTAAATTTTGGTTACTGTAAACATATTTTAAATTAGAAATTTAGCACAGAGAAATTTCATCTTCTTACAAAAATCGAGAAATCGTATTTTCCGTCAAAACAAAAAAAATTCATTTTCCCATTAAACTGAGAAATCGGCTATTCCCGCCAAAACCAAAGAAATTCATTTTCTCGTCAAACCTAAAACCTAAAATTTCATTTTTCTGAGAGAACCTGTGTTTTTCCACCAAAGCCGAGAAATTACGTTTTTCACAAAAACCAAAAAATTTCATCTTCCTGCAAAAACCAAAAAAAAAACATTGTATCTTCCCGCCAAAATCGAAAATTTTATTTTTCCTGCAAAAACTGAGAAATCGTCTATTCCTGCCAAAAAAAAAAGAAAAATCATTTTCTCGTCAAGCCCAGAATTATGCTTTCTTACTAAAACAAATAAATTACAATTTCTTGCGAAAACCAAAAATTGCATTATCTCTCGTGAAATTGTGTTTTCCCGTGAATACTAAGAAATTGTTATGTTTTTATCGGTTCAATTTTTTGCTGATGTGTGAGCTTCTTATAACATAAAATTTTTTGCGTTGTCGTCATGGAAGCATAGTTAATGCTGAGCCTACACTTTTTCAATCATATACGTCTATGTCAAACAAACAGATAGCTAGAATTTTTTTTTAATATTTATTTGCTGTTATTTATTATTTGAATTCGGTTTTGAAAAAAAAAACAATGATTTCATTTTTTTATTTGTTTTTATTTATTATTTGGGTTTGGATTTAGTAAAAAATAAAATAATGATTTTTTATTTGCTGTTGTTAATTATTTGGGCTTGGGTTTGGTAAAAAAAGAAAACAAAATTAATAGAAAAAATATTTGGATTTTTAATGGGTTTAAGTTTAAAAATTAAAATAAGTAGATGAGATATATTAATAAAATGTTTTGATTGGTGATTATTTTTGCTGATGTGTCATGTTTATAAAGCTTAAAAAAAATTGAAGCGTCAAACCATGGAGAAACTTAAATGTTATTGTTGTGTTGATTTTTTCGATCTATATTCTATGAGATGATGTTGAACTTTTGAAAGTGTAAACATTGACCATAAAAAAAAATGAAAGTGTAAACCAAGTTTGAAATCTCAAATGCCACCATACAAGTGAACGGTTTACAATTCATTTGATGTTATAAGTATAGCGTAGCTACCCATGTGTTATGGAGCGATCATCACAAATTGAGAAAAAAATCAATTTCATGTACCATGCTATAATCTAATAATATAATCTACAAATTGTGAAACTACAAATTGATTCTTATCGAGTAAATAAGACAAATGAGTGAAAGTAAAAATTATTTTTAAGAGATAAAACAATATAAATCAAAATATGAAAAAAAAATTGGATGCTCCTCGTCCTCGAGCTCCATCGCACTGCTATCATCGTTGATTCCCTCCAAGCTCTTTTGAGCGAGCTTCGTTGGCCCAAATTAAGTCTTCTACAATTGGTTTTCTTTCTTCTACTCCATTGATAAATCTCTAACTTTTTATTTGAGTTCTTCTTTATTTGGAAATTTAGGGATTTAGCTTTTTTTTTTTTTTTTGACAACAATGGAGCTTTCATATAACTTGAATGGGTTCGAATAGGCTTGCCTTAGAGGCTAACCATTCCGGAACCGCAGAGTTTACAAACTCAAATAATACATCACGAGCTCGGGCCCCTTTAGCCAGGGTATCCGCACAATAATTTAAACAACGAGGTATAAAAGATAGTGTGAAAGTGATAAACATATCCCGACACTGCAGTCTTCGATTGTTGATGAGAGATTTGGCCAATCTTCTTCTCTCTCAATGATCTTTATCATTTGCAGACAATCCGTCTGAATATGCAGCGCTGTGAATCCCCGATTACTCAACGTTCTCATTGCCCATATAACCGTTTCCATCTCGGCCTGCAGGGGTGAAGGTACGCCTATGCTTGTAAAAGAGCATACTAGTACTCGGATCCCATTCTGCATAAGAATAAAGCCTCCACTAAACAATTTCTCCCCGCTGCTCCATGAAGCATCAACCTGACAGCAAAACTCATCAGCTACAGAGTTTTCCAGGTTTCTTAAGGGTTGGGGGCTTACTTCGACTATTACCTTATCCGCCAAGTTTGCCATCTTCCAGTTCTCTGCCTCGTTAACTGCAAGCTCGAAGGTGTCGCTGGGTGATATCTCTTTATTGTTGAAAGCTTTTTTATTTCTGGCTTTCCAGATATACCATATTATCCATGGGAACGTCTTTTTCTGTTCTTCACTGATTCCATGATTTTGTGTTCTGAAAAGCAGGAAATCCATGTTAGAAAACAGAGCATTACACGGAAAGTCATCCAGACTGGAAAAGAACAGGGACAAGGCCCAAGTTTGAAGTGCAGGGGGCACTCAAAGAAGATGTGATTAATGGTTTCGTTCTCGGTGCCGCATCTGAGGCATTTCCTGGACATGCTGCAATGGCGGTCTACCAATCTGCTCGAAGCAGCAATACATCCCGTGATGATTTGCCAGAGCGTGTGTTTTGTTTTCCTGGCTGTCTTAAGCTTCCATACTTCTGCTTGTAGAGCTATCGTGCTGGGTTCTGTTACCCCTCGATGTTCGCTTGTTTCGTCCATTTCGTATGCTAACTCATAGCCCGATCTGACTGTATAGTTCCCCGAAGCGATATGAACCCAGCAATAGTCATCCATGTCAAATTTCCGATGTATTTTTATGCTAAGAATCCTATCTGCGTCTTCGGGTTGTATTAGCGAACGTACTAACTCCACCTTTCATGCTTTTGACTCGAAGTCGATTAAGTGATTGACGTAGAGGTTTGGATCTTGAGCAGGGATCAAGCTTAACGCCGGTCGTGCCGGGATCGTCAGAATCCAGGGGTCCCGCCAGACACTGGTATTGAAACCAGACTTTATCGTCTTTCTTAATCCCGGTTGGAGAAAGTGCTTTGCTGCCATGATGCTTCGCCACCCATACGATGGGGTGTTTGATTTCTCGACTTCCAGCGGGTTAGAATAGCGATAATATCTGCCTTTTAAGACCCGAGCCAACAGTGAGGAAGGGTATCGGATTAACCTACATAGTTGTTTAGCAAGTAGAGCTAGATTAAAGAGTTTTAAGTCTCTAAGTCCAGTCCTCCTTTGCTTTGAGGGAGATAAATTTTGTCCCACGCGAGCCATTGTATGCCGCGATTGTTAGACTTTTTGCTCCACCAGAAACGAGAGATAGCTGCTCTCATCTTGGAAATAACATCTTGTGAAAGAAGGTAGGTGGACATTACGAAGGTCGGAATAGCTTGCGCCACCGATTTAAGCAACACCTCTTTCCCCCCTCTAGATAATAACTGTGAAGACCATGAATTAACCCGATTGTTAAGACGTTCCTGAACATAAGAGAAGACTTGGTTCTTTGAGCCACAAATCTTCTTGGGTATGTCTAGATACATTCCCATACCACCCTCTGTATGTATTCCCAGCGCCTGTTTTAGTGCTTGCTTTCCTTCCTGTTTAACTTTGCTCCCGAAGAGAATTGATGACTTTGAATAATTCAACTGTTGTCCCGACGCCCGACCATACGAGTTTATGATTTTTAGATGTTCAATGCATTGTCCAACATCCGCTTTACAGAAGAAGAGGCTGTCATCGGCGAAAAGTAGATGAGATATGGGCGGGCTTGCTTGGGCAATCTTTATCCCAGTTATTCGTCCTTCCTCTTCTGCCCCTTTTATCTGGCTAATTAACGCTTCCGTGCAGATGATAAACAGGAAGGGGGAGAGAGGATCTCTTTGCCTAATACCTCGTGATGGTTGAATCTTTCCTTTGGGTGATCCATTGATTAAGAATTGGTATGTCACCGTAGATATACACTTCATAATCCAGCTGACCCATTTAGTATCAAAACCTAGCTTGATCATCAAAGCTTGGAGGAAGCTCCATTCCACGCGATCGTATGCCTTGCTCATGTCCGTCTTGATGGCTACGAACTTAGAGTTGCATATTGGGTTTCCCCAGAGGGCGTGAAAGGCTTCCTGTGCAATCAAAATATGGTCTGATATGAGTCTCTTGGCAACAAAGGCTGATTGCGTCTCCGAGATTAGAGCAGGGAGAAACTTCTTTAGTCTTTTGCATAAGACTTTTGAAACAACTTTATAGCAGACATTGCATAAGCTGATGGGTCGAAACTCTGTCATCGCTAGGGGTCTTTCATTCTTCGGGATGAGACATATGTTGGTCTGGTTCAAACGGGGGTCCAGGGTACCGTTAGTGAAAAAGTCTTTAACGGTCTGTACGATGTCTCTCTCTAAAGTT